CACAGCTCCTGGCTGGCAAACGCGAGGTTGTGAGTTGGATTCCCGGTACCAGAAAACAAAACAAAACAAAACAAAACAAAACAAAAAGCCCATTTTGGGGCTGGGGATTTAGCTCAGCGGCACAGCACCTGCCTGGCAAGTGCAAGGTCGTGAGTTCGATTCCTATACCAGAAAAAAAAAAAAAAAAGATGCCAGCTGCAGCCTTGGTGGCCGTGCCTGCGGGAGTTGGGTGCCGCCTTAGTCCCCCTGTCCTCCTGTCCTCCTCTGCTTCCTCCGGCCAGCAGGTGGGGTGAGCAGCTCTGCTCTCTGGCAAGGATGCCTCCAGGCAGCCCTGCGCTGAGAGCTGGCTCTTGGGGCTGTGGCCGGACAGGAAACTCCTGCTGGCTCAGGGGTCCTCGGGCGGGAGGGCAGCGCTTACCTCATAGACCGGGGCGTCCGGCCCTTCGAACTGAAGACCTGGGGCCACGGGAGAGAGGACAGAACTGCCGTCAGAGAGGACGCCGGGGCTCTCCCCTCCCTCGCGGACTCCTACACATCCCTGAGAGCCCCTCTGAATGTCACCTCCTAAGCACACGTTGGCGGTGACTCCCCACCACCAGGGCTGCCAGGGGCACCGTCCTCCTCCACCCGGGCGCCCGAGGCCCCAGTGCCCTCCTGACTTTGGGCGTCATGAGTACCCGCGGCCCAGGCAGCCTCGTCTGCCCCAGGGAAGGCGACAGCGGGTGCGGAAGGGATCACCCTTAGGGACAGGCAGCAGGGGTGTGCCTGTCATCCTAGCAGGGAGGCTGAGGCAGGAGGACGCCCAAAGCCAGCTTCACCCCAAGGTCCTTAGAGGCACTCTCATCTGCACCCCAAGAACGACCGCTTCCCTCGGCTGTTTGAGGCCGCGGTCGCGCGAGGGCGCTGTCTCCGCGAACGCCGCCTACCTGGAATGGGCGCCGTGTGCAGGGGCATCACCGCCACGCCGTGCACCGGGTACCCGAAGGGCAGGTTGGGCTGGGCCAGCAGTGGCGGGGGCTGTGGCAGCCCCTCTCTGCGGGAGAAGTGGACTTGAGCGGCAGCCCTGGTGCAGTCCAGGGGGCCTCAGCGCTCTCCCCGAGACAGAGCAGCCCACCCCTAATTCCAAGAGGTAATGAGGCGATTTACAGCAAAACACATTTTTAAAAGCACGGTCCGCGGGCATAGTGGCGCACGCCTGTAATCCCAGCACTTGGGAGGCTGAGGCAGGAGGATCGCTGTGAGTTTGAGACCAGCCTGGGCTACAAAGTGAGCTCAAGGCCAGCCTGAATTGCATAGCAAGACCCTGTCTCAAAAAAGCAAAAATAAAAAAATAAAATCTCAAACTTGTATCCTCCTGCCTCAGCCTCCTTCAGTGCTGGGGCTATAGGTGTACACCACTCCACTCAGCACCTCTTGCTTTTTGTTATGATATATTTTATACATGCAAAGGTCTAGAAGCCTTCATTAAAGGACGAAGTCCTCAGTTCGCTTTGCCTGTGCCCAGTCATTCCACCAGCTGCTTCTGCACCCGAGCCCTGCCCACGTCACCTCCTCTGGAAGTGTCTGTACTCAGCGTGTCTCCTGGCGTTCACTGCCAGGAGGTCGCTTTCCTTGTAGGCGCTCCGGAAGTTGTATCCTCCTTGACTGCGGGTGTTTTCACAAGTGCACTGGTTTTTCGGGAACAGCCTAAAACAAGCAAGAGAGTCAGGTGAGGTGGCACACTCCTGTGACCCCAGCCCTGGGGAGGTTGAGGCAGGAGGATCCCCGTGAGTGTGACGCCAGTGTGGGCTACATAGCAAGACCCTGTCTCAAACAATGAACAAACGCACCACAGGGCCAGGACGCAAGAGGAAAGAGGAGCCGGGAGAGGCGCAGGACAAAGGCGGGGAGAGGACCCCAGGGCCTCACCAGAGCCCATCCAGAGAGAAGAGGCCCCGGAGGCGCTGCTCGGGCAGGAGGCTGAGTACAGGGCCCCCCAGGGTGGGCGGCGGGCCCCCAGGCTTGAGGCTGGGCAGCAAGGCTTGAAGGAAGGCGCTTTTCAACACAAAGACAAGAACGCCGAGGCTGAGTCCAAGGATCAACACCAACCTCTTGAGGAGCCACAGGGACCTAATGCTGCGAGGACACAGAAAAACAGAGTTAAACCCTCTCTGTGCTGAGGGTGGGAGCCAGGGCCCTTGCATGTGCTGAGCAAGCGCCAGACCACTGGGGTACATCCCGCCTCTGCTGGAATCCTCCTCCTCCTTTTCCTCCTTCTTTTTTGAGACATAGTCTCACTAGGTAGCCCAGGCTAGCCTCAAACTCATAGCAATCCTCCTGCCTCTGCCTTCTCAGCACTGGGATGCCTGTTATTTCTTTAACAGATGAAGTTTCACGATATATAAAGCAAGCTGGACATACTGGCGCACACCTGTAATCCCAGCACTCGGGGAGCTGAGGCAGGAAGATTGCTGTGAGTTTGAGGCCAGCCTGGGCTACATAGTGAATTCAGGGGCAGCCTGAACTATACAGTGAGACTCTGTCTCAAAAAACCAAGACCAGCCCTGCCTCGTAGGTGCCCGGAAGGAGGGGCCCAGGCGCACAGGGAGCCAC